TTGAGTAAAAGCTTTTAGCTATTCTTTTAGCTACTCTTTCACCACTTCTTTTAGCTACTCTTTGAGTAAAAGCTTTTAGCTATTCTTTTGTCTACTCTTTTAGCACTTCTTTTAATTATTATTTGAGTAAAAGCTTTTAGCTATTCTTTTAGCTACTCTTTTACCACTTCTTTTAGCTACTCTTTGAGTAAAAGCTTTTAGCTATTCTTTTGTCTACTCTTTTAGCACTTCTTTTAGCTACTCTTTGAGTAAAAGCTTTTAGCTATTCTTTTAGCTACTCTTTTACCACTTCTTTTAGCTACTCTTTGAGTAAAAGCATTTAGCTATTCTTTTAGCTACTCTTTTACCACTTCTTTTAATTATTATTTGAGTAAAAGCTTTTAGCTATTCTTTTAGCTACTCTTTTACCACTTCTTTTAGCTACTCTTTGAGTAAAAGCTTTTAGCTATTCTTTTAGCTACTCTTTTACCACTTCTTTTAGCTACTCTTTTGAGTAAAGCTCTTTAGCTATTCTTTTTTAGCTACTCTTTCACCACTTCTTTTAGCTACTCTTTGAGTAAAAGCTTAGCTATTCTTTTGTCTACTCTTTTTAGCACTTCTTTTAATTATTATTTGAGTAAAAGCTTTTAGCTATTCTTTTAGCTACTCTTTTACCACTTCTTTTAGCTACTCTTTGAGTAAAAGCTTTTAGCTATTCTTTTGTCTACTCTTGTAGCACTTCTTTTAATTATGATTTGAGTAAAAGCTTTTAGCTATTCTTTTAGCTACTCTTTTACCACTTCTTTTAGCTACTCTTTGAGTAAAAGCTTTTAGCTATTCTTTTGTCTACTCTTTTAGCACTTCTTTTAATTATTATTTGAGTAAAAGCGTTTAGCTATTCTTTTAGCTACTGTTTCACCACTTCTTTTAGCTACTCTTTGAGTAAAAGCGTTTAGCTATTCTTTTGTCTACTCTTTTAGCACGTCTTTTAATTATTATTTGAGTAAAAGCTTTTAGCTATTCTTTTAGCTACTCTTTTACCACTTCTTTTAGCTACTCTTTGAGTAAAAGCTTTTAGCTATTCTTTTGTCTACTCTTTTAGCACTTCTTTTAATTATTATTTGAGTAAAAGCTGTTAGCTATTCTTTTAGCTACTCTTTTACCACTTCTTTTAGCTACTCTTTGAGTAAAAGCTTTTAGCTATTCTTTTGTCTACTCTTTTAGCACTTCTTTTAATTATTATTTGAGTAAAAGCTTTTAGCTATTCTTTTAGCTACTCTTTTACCACTTCTTTTAGCTACTCTTTGAGTAAAAGCTTTTAGCTATTCTTTTGTCTACTCTTTTAGCACTTCTTTTAATTATTATTTAAGTAAAAGCTTTTAGCTATTCTTTTAGCTACTCTTTCACCACTTCTTTTTGCTACTCTTTGAGTAAAAGCTTTTAGCTAAACCTGTTTTCGCTGTATCAGATTCTAGCTGTGGCTCAAAAAAGCGGTACCAAAATGGCACCAAAAGGTAAATGGAACCAAAGACAACAACCCGCCAGCTCATTCATTTTGAGCCATACCCAAATGGAAATCGATTCGATTGAACTTAGATCCCGTGAACTTGTTGATTGTTAAAAGGAGATATGAGGGGAATCCAAAAAGTTAAAGCCTAAAGATCCAACCCAATACCAGTGTGAAGAAATGTGAATCGGAACATCAAGCAAGCGTGGGAGGGGTTGTGTGAAGACACGTGAATATTTTTTTGGAGATGCGAATTGTATTTGGTTGTGAAGGGTTGTCATTTCGGGAATGCTGAAGAAATGTAAAGAATGGGAACATCAAGAAAAAAAAGTGTGCGAAGAATTGTGACGAGATGTGAAGAGATGTTCAGAGATGTGAAGAAATGCAAAGAAATGCAAACTTTAAAGAGTTGTCACTTGGGGAGTGGTGAAGAAATGTGAGGGAACATCAAGTAAGTATGGGAAAAATGTGCGAAGAGTTGTGAAGAGATGTGAGATGTAAAGAATTGTGAAGAGCTGTGAACAAATGCGAATGGTAAAGAGCTATCACTTGGGGAATGGCGAAGAAATGGCGCGAAGAAAAGTGACAAATTGCAGAGAGATGTGAAGAGATGTAGAGAGATGCCAACAACTGTGAAGAGTTGTCTCTTGGGGAATGGTGAAGACATCTGAAGAATGGGAACATCAAGCAAGGACGGGAGGATCTGTGAAGAAATGTCAAGAATTGCGAAGAATTGTGAAGAATTGTGAAGAGATGCGAAGAGATGCGAAGTTGTGCGAAGAGTTGTCACTTGGGGCATGGTGAAGAAGAGTGAAAAATGGAAACATCAAGCAAGGCTGGAAGAATTGTCTGTGGAGAATTGTGAAGAATTGTGAAGAGGTGTAAAAGAGATGCAAAGAACTGTAAAGAACTGTAAAGAAGTGACTTGGGGAATGGTGAAATGTGAGAAATGGGGATCAAGTAAGGATTTTGGCGTGCTAAACCAGGACTTGGATCGCTGCCCCGAAGGCTCCTAAAGGGGCAGGTAGGTCAGGTAAGTGGTTTTGGAACCATGGCTACAACTCACTGAACGGAGACTAATCATGATAATTGATTTACAACCATGGGTACTAACCACTAAGTACCCTGCCCCTTGAAGTACCGCGGCTCCGGCATCCCGGCGAGTTCTCTCCCCAGCGAGTGACTCTCGGAAGCCCGGCATCCACCCCCAGGCACTTCAGCATGAGGACCAGGTCCTGTACGTCGCCCTATGGGGGTTCTGAGAGCCTCACGGCTCTCTCCCTGTGCTTCTGTCGACCTGTCCAAGGGTTGGGTTGCAGGAGATTACAGGAAAACATCGTATTTACGGTGTTTTGGGGCATTTCCTGTAGATTTTCCTGTAACCCAACCCGTTGAATCTGGCTGTTTGCCAAGAAGGAGAATGCCAAAACAAATCGAACAACTGCAACTTTGGCCAAAGTCAGTGAACTGAGCAAATCGGTACGCGGAGAAGTGCAATGCAATGTGAGGACAGCGCAAAAAGTCAGAAATGAATCAACTTGCACAAGTTTTCAAGACCAACCAACCAGACAACCTAACAAACAGTGAACTGACTCCCAAACACTCGAACTCCCAAAAATCAATCAGGGAGGAGTCTCGAGTGACCGCCGGCATGATGCTGACACCCTGAAAAACAGTGCTGGTCCATCCAACACCTGGAAAAACGAGAGCCATCAAAACTTCCCGGAGGTCGCAGGAGCCATGAGGCATCCTTGGCAACCCTCCAGGCACGAAATTCGGGGGGTCTCCGGGTCTCGCCGGAACCAGTCTAGGCGACGGAGAAAAAACAAAAAAACAAAAAAGCAGACAGGAAAAAAAATAAAACATATGCCGAAGCCCAAAAAAGAAAACCCGTAACCTACGTGCCCATGAGAGAGACATCTTGAGATCGGATCTGGCAAAATCGACTGAAAGTCCAGTGGACTCCACTGCAATGGCTCTGAGATGAAGCCTCCAACAGCAAAAGCCCTGCCAAAGGTCTCCTTTTGGGAAAGAGAGCCCCAGCTGCGCCCAACAAAGGCAACATCCCAAAGAGTTCTCCTGTCAAGAACCAAAGGTCCATAGCTGTCCTGTTGAATAGGTATTTCTCAACTGAACAAACAAGAAGGACACCCATGAGCCCTGTGTGATATTCGGGCATGAATAACCCCCCTCCCCCCCAACGCCCTCCGCCTGCCTTCAGATCCGAGCGCTGCACTTCGGGGAGGGTGTGTTCTTGTAGCTCCTGAACGACTCGGAGCACTAGGAAGCCAAGCATTTGGCTCGTGGTCCAACCCTCATTTTGAGAACCTAAACAACGGAGATCGCCGGAAAACGGGCATATCCCGAAGGGAACCGCTCCCAGCGCGTGAAACATATGTCGGGCGCACAAATCTGTCGCACCCAACGCTCAACATCCTTTCGACGCAGCCCACGCGCCTGGAAGCTCTTCTCGGTCAGCAGCCTGCACCAGTTCCGGGCGTACAGGCACAAGGTGCGTTTGGTCATTGCACACAGAAGCCTTGGTTACAAGTCTCCGTTCAGTAGGCTATAACCAGGCTTACTCACCTCTTACTGAGTATCCTGCACCTTTAAGTAGCCATCAATGCGGTGGCCTGCAAAGCTATCTTCCCCTCGTAATGATTCATGTGCAAGCACGCAGTAGAATAAGATCCTGGGAGTGTAAAGACGATTCGCACATGTCCAAAAGATATGGTCACCGCCCAGTTTGCGGGCTGCCAGAAACATGGCGGAAATCACTAGAGCCTCAAATGTTGCAAGTGGGTGTGTCTTTTCTAAGGGACCCCAAAAATGGTGTTGTTCCTTTGGTTTCCCTTAAAACGGCACCAAGAAAGGGGTACCCGACAAACAAACAAAAAACACAAAAGCCGCGCCCAAGCAAAGAACCAGGGTTCTGACTTCTCCGCATCACTACCACATTGTCTTTGATACACTGTAGTTGGTTGACACGTTTCTTGGGCAATCCTCTTCGTCTCTGGACAAACGAGTGAGCCCCCGAGAGATTCTTCACATTCGGAAGTTGGTAGGTTCCTCTCTTCATGTTGATTCCTTCTGGCATTGTCTTTTCTGACTCCAGTTGGCCTGATGGTTGTCGCTGGTCTTTCAGTTTGGCGTGCTGGCCTTTTCACTTGAGCCAGTCAATATGGTGGGTTTTGCCCCACTTTGGATTTTGGTGAGCAAGCGCCATTCAAGGCGAAAATGCCACACACCCCACACAGAGGTGCCTTTTTTGGGGAATCGGACCAC